CAGCCTCCAGCTGAACTTCACTGCAGAGGTGGGGGAGGGGTGCTGTTCACAGAGGAGGCTGTCAGAGGGTGGGGAGGGGGCTGCTGCCCACCCAGCCTCAGTGAAGGACTTGTCCTCAGCCAACCAGCGCCCCACTGCCCCCCTTCCTGAGCTAATAGAAAAGTCTGCAGGCCACTAGTGGGTAGAGTAGGGAAAGGGGAAAGGACTCTCTCTCCCAGCCCCAAAAAAAGAAGCCCCCACATCCCCACTTTCCCCACCCTCGTTCTGGGAGGCGGGGGGCCAGGGTGTACTGAGAGAATGGACTTCTGAGATGCTTCCAGCCAGCAGCAGACCCATCTGGTTTCAATCAGGAGAGCAGGTTCCCAGATCATAGAAGCGCATGGGGGAGGGAGGCAGTGCACACAGTCCGCCCGCCCCCCAGCCCCCCTCCAGAGTGCAGCCCCTTCCCCATTTGATCTCCTTTCACCTCCCAAGTGGGCCTCACACAGCCCCTGGAAGATTAGGTGAGGCAGGGAAAACTTAGGGAACAGTAGTATAGACCCGAGACCTCTGTCCATGTTAGAAGAACAGACCACAGAGGAGAGAGACAAACCTAAGGAAAGAGGGTCCTGGAAGAAGAAGAAAGGCCTGCAAACAGAGAGAGTGAAAGCAAGCGAAGGTCCTAGAAACCACCAGGTCCCAACCGGATCTTATCACAAATGGGCAAGCAGAGGTCCTGAGAAGGAAGTCTAATAGATCCACTTACTGAACTCGGCCCCAAGCCCTGTTCAAAGCATCCCACTCGCAGTCTTAATAGGAATTGCCATCCCCCTTCAACAGATGGGAAAACTATGGCTCATAGGAGAAGAAAGTCCCACCTGCCCAACCTCGCCCAGGGGGTAAGCAACCGGGGCCACCATTTTGGCTTTCCCTGCCATCTCCAGACCTGGATCAAGTGGGAGCCCAGTCCAGAGGGAGAAATCTACCCTCCCCAGCAAGATTTCTAGCTGCCTTGGTGGAGCCCTCACCTGCTCAGTCCCAACTCCTGTCTCCAGACCAGGGTGAAAGGATACAAGCCTTAAAAACAAGCAGCCTTCCTGGTCATGGCTTGTTGCCAGGGTTCTAATCCTGATTCTGGATGACTTTGGCGCTTGGGTCAACTTCCCTGTCAATAAAATGGACAAGTGTTGTCTAAAACTGGGCTGGACCGCGATTCTGTGATTCCCCAAACCTCCGTTTCTATCATCCTAAACAAACCTAGAGGCTTCCCTTGGCTTGGGTGGTCTTTAGGAAGAACGTTGATCCCAATTTCAGAATTTAGAGCTGGCAAGAGAGCCAGGCTTTAAAGAGAACGAGAGGACCCAGCCAGCCATGGAAGCCGCTAATCTCCATCTCTCCCTGGGGGACTTCACTGCCGCCTCCACTGAAAGCAATTTGTCATGCCCTGAATTAAGTGATTCCAACAAGGGTTTAATTTCAGTTTAATGGCTCTGTTTTTATGTGTAATTAAATACCATTGCATGGCGAAAATATGTTGTTTGCACTTTAGAGACTGTGTAAGGGCCTGGGAAGCCAATCCCACTGGGTTTCTACTCCCAGGCTCCACCAGCCCCTCCCCTAGTCTGGCTGGAAATGTCCAGGTCCTGGGGAAGGGGGTGGGGGACCTGGGGAAGAGAGGAGGGCGGTGAGGGGAGAAGTGGTCCTGGTGGCGCCTGCTCACTCAGTAGAGAATGTTTCTAATTATCCTCGGCACCCCACTTCTACTCCTTGACCCTAACTCTCCCCAGCGCCTGGGGCCTCAGACAGAGAGGGGACAGATCACTCTGACAGTGAGGATCTAATTAGACCCTTGGCTGGCTGAAGTGGTGTCTGCTCCCCCGTGGGTGTGCCCGAAGTTCTGCTTCATTGTCTCTCCTCCACTTATTGTTCCCATTAACTCCCTCCTCCCCCATGAATATGCTTCCTCCCACATTGACCCTCTCCCCTGACTCACAAACCTCCCCTCTTCTCCCCTCTTCCCTATGACAACCCCACGACCCAACCCACAACTGACCCAGCATCCCAGCTGCCAGCCTGCCTCTGAGCTCCATCCAACCACATCATCTTGCCTTCTCCTTCTAGGTCAGAGGTGACATTGCCACAGGGGTCTGGAATGCAGGGGGAGTTTCTCTGGCTGGGAATGTCTAGGGTCATTTACCACACAGCCATATCCGCCCCCCCCAGGAAGGGGGTCCAAGCAGGCACCCCAAGTCCTGCGTGCCTCATAACATTCCTGGAGCAGCTTGGTATAGCCCAATTTGGCCCGGAGGGCAGAGAGGTTGGGATGAGCAGCCTTTTCCTGGAAGGAGTTTGCAGGGCCTGGAACCCAGGGGCCTTCATAGGAGGAGGGGCCAGGAAGCTTAGCCATCTCTCCAGAGATGCCCCTTCCCCGAATCCAATCCTGGAGTCAGTCCAAGTCTCCCCTTTCTTCTCTCTTCTCCCCGCCCCCGCTTGCTGGTGGAAAACCCAGCCCCCAACCCTCAGCAACAGACAGGGCTTGATCGCCACTAACAAGCTGGGAAATGGAAACCAAATGCCTCATGTATGTAGATGGGCACCAGTGGGCTAAGGTGGGGTGCCTCCCGTCCCCATGCTCCAAGCCACAGTGGAGAGGTGTAACATTTCTTGGGGGCAGGCCAAAGCACTCAAGGAGTTTATCTGGGTAAGTGCCACCAGGACACAAGAGTTTAGTCCTTGCCACCTCCTCCCTTCCACCTCTGCCAGAGATGCTGTGCCCTGTGGCCACTAGAGTGACGATTAATGCTGTGCCCTGTGGCCACTAGAGTGACGATTAAAGGGTATTTGGAGGCCATGGCTGGGGGAGGGGGGGCAGGGTGCTAGGTGTAAACTAGACCAGCAATTCCTCTCTGGAGCCTGGTTCTCCCCACTGTGCCCAGGGCAGTTTACTCCCCCTAGCCCAGCAGTGGTAGAAGGTGTCCACATTGACACAAAACTGCCTTTATTTCCTTCTTTCGGACATCTAGGACCCGGTTCTCAGATCATGGAAGCAAGCACCAGGTGTGGGCGAGTGACAATGTTTCTGTGGGATGTGGAATTCCCTCTCTCAAGGTGTACATCCTCTATTCTTCGGTGCTAGAGCTGCAGTGGGGACATCCTGCAGCAGGGATGCCTAATAAGTGAAGGCCACTCATTCACAGCCGGGAGGGAAGTAGCAACACACTCTGTGAATTTCTCTAGTCACTCCCTCCTCACATCACACACATGCACACTCAGACTCACAACCCACATAGACATGCCCCTCAAATTAGCACGTCCTCTTCACACACCCAGATGCCCTGTAAAAGCCCATATACTCACATCTTACTTTGTATATTCAAAGGTATTATTTTGGTATATTCACATGCATGTGTGCACTTGTATGCACTCGTACAGTCACACACACACACACAAACACACACGCCACAAATATGCAGATATCACAGAGGCATATCCCAGGCCATATATGCAGCTACTTTCCAGGAAGATCCAGCTTTTTTCAGAAAAGGACCTCTTAGAGGCACTTGGGTGGCTTGAGTTGAGTGTCTGACTTTGGCTCAGGTCATGATCTCACCGTTCGTTGGTTCGAGCCCCGCGTCAGGCTCTGTGCTGACAGCTCAGAGCCTGGAGCCTGCTTCTAATTCTGTCTCCCTCTCTGCCCCTTCCTTGCTCACATGCTCTGTCTCTCTCTGTCTCTCAAAAAATGAAAATGTTTTTAAAAAAAGAATGGATATTTAAAAAGAAGAAAAAGACCTTTTAGTACCCACTGCCAAGGGTACCAGGGTGTAGCATTGAAAAAGGGGGCTGGAGAAGAAAAAGGGAATTTACAAAGATGCTTTAGGGAAAGAGGTATTATTCCTACATTTATTTGGTTTAAGCACCTAAAACATAATTGTCTGCATGTCAGTAAAGGCTGACATGCTACTCCAACATGCCTTGGCCTCAACCTCAGAAGTAGGGGGTTCCATGAAGGGTGATCAGGGGACCAAAGTCACTTTGTTATCTACTACTGCTGGCAGTGTCCTGTGGTGCCTCCGGAAGACCAGATAGCTGCAAGATGCTGCCACCAGGGCAGAGCTACAGAGAGGAAGATTGCAGTCCCAGGTTCAAGATGTGGACAGCACAGGGGCTACCTCATCAAGGACCAGTGAAATCAAAAGGCCTGGGAGCACTTCTGGAACTGGGAAGGGGCTAGGAGACCAGAAGACACCCCATCAAGAGGGAGCTCCCCCAGAGTGCTGCAGACTTGGTGCACAGGGTCTTCAGGCTGCCCATGACCTGGAGAAGGGGCCCCCACCCAGATCAGTGTACACACACACAGAGCACAGAAATGGTGGAGAGGGACATTGGGACATGACCAGAAATCCAGTCATACCACATGGGCACAAAATCTGGGTCTGGCACCAAGAGCCCACAGCCTGGTGAGCTCAGGACAGCAAGATCAAAGATGCCCCCACTCCCAACGTCACAGAATTAAATCTCAACACAACCACCCCATTAAGGAATCTAGGCAGTCAGAGCTGTGGAATGTGTTGGAGATTTATACCCCCCTCCCCAACTTCAGGGAAGTGCCTCTTCCACTACATGAATGCATCAAATCCAGACGCAAATCCAGTCTGACCGATGCCCTAGGAAATACCCCAACTTCACACACCAGGGGATCCCAGAAATAGCTCTGGTCCAACAGGACTATCTCTGCTTATCTTCCTTCAGAAGCCATTTTTTCCTCACCAGGAGTCTGAACACAGACAGCGTGATTCTAGGGAACACCCTCACCACCCCCGCCCCCACCCCCGCCCTAAGAAGAGGCTGCAGAGAGGAAGAGGATGAGCTGGCTGACTCTTTGCAGTTCTCTTACCATGTGATAAGTCTGGGGACTACATGATGACCCCCCCTTCCCACCTCTGGCACACCTCTGTCTCTAATTATAAATAAATCAACCAAACACAATTGTCTAGATTTTTTTTGTTGTTGTTTTGTTCTGTTTTGTTAAAAAAAAAAAAAAAGACAAGACATCATGGTCAACTGATAGGTCCCTTAGTCTCCTTGCATCCAGTCAAGCCAGAAATGCCTAGAGGGTAGGGAGGTATAGGGAAGGAGGCAAAGCCACAGGCGGTGAGCCACTAGAAGGATAGAGTCATCCTGGTGACTCTGTGGCTGTGACGAAAACCAGGGACGAAGCAGGACCCCCGGGGAAGTCCTTCTCCCCTCAGCATATGTGTCTCTTCTCCATCAGGCACATGCAGTTCGATTGTACATTCTTTCCTCCCACCCTGACTGTTCAGAGATGGGCCCCACCTCCCCAGCCCTCTGTCCCGCATGTCTTCTCCTGACCCTCTTCTCTCCTCCAAAGCAGGGTCTGAGCTGCCAGGCAACCAAGTAGATGGCACACCAGACCCAAAGTTGGGTTTATCTCTAGGTCCTTCTTGCTGGAGGGAACCAAGGAAAAGAGGAAGGGCAGCCTAGCAGGCTTGAGCTTTGGGAGTGGGTCTGAGACTCCTGACCATTGAATCATCTGCCAACGCTCACCTTCCCTACAACCTCCACCCTCTGACTAGACTGAGGGGAGGGACAATGGTACAAGGTACAATGGCCAAGGTACATGTCTACCTCCCTCCTCTGATTCCAGAAATGAGACTCCTCTTCCCCCACAAGCTTGTGCTCAGCTTAGGGGAAGTAGCCCCACATGCCCAAATCAGAGAAAGTCAGAAAAAGAGCCCCCAGGGCTAAAAACTAGAGCTGGCATGTAGTATGTCATCAATAAATGTTTTTAGATGAGTGGCTGAATGAATGAATGAATGAATGAGTCCAGGATCAATTTGGAAACACACCAGGGCTCCCCATTGCCATTCTCAGACCTCTCAGGCTATCTAAGCCCAGAGAGGACACCCCTAGGCTTTGGCTCACCCCAAGGGCACACCCATACACACACACATACACACAGAAAGGGAATTTTCTGGGCCAGAGACAGAGCCAGGACTCAGACCCTGGCTCCAGGTCAGCTCTGCAGCCTCTAGGGGATGGGGTGGCAGGGGGTGCTGAGCCCCCTGCCTCCTGGCAGGGTTCACTCGCGGAAGCTGTCAGCCAACTGGTGGCAGTCCAGCTCCCCTTTCGGCTCCAGACCCCCTGGAAGCTTCACTCCTGTCTTCCGGTCCACACACCAGCACTTGCCGCGCTGCCCATCTAAGGCCGGGTGACACTGTCAAGACAGGGGTGTGAGAAGTCAGTTCCAAGGCAGCCTGCCCCACTCCCACCCCAGCCCTCAAGTCAGATAGTTGATCCAAGATGGCCTCCAAGGGCAGAGACTCTTACATGACCATGGACTCTCTGAGCTCATGGGGTAAAGAGATCTTGGCCAAGAAGGAAAGGTCAAGTAGACAGGACTTGGCCAAAGTGAAGTTTGTCTCAGAGGTCAGCACTGGTCTAGAGATAAAGGGCTCAAGTGTCCGACTATCGGTGGGATAAACATTGGGTAAAGAAAACACATAGAACTGAACAACACAAAGAATGAGCCCTAATGTAAACTAGGGACTTTAGTTAATAATGTACTAGGGACTCCCGGGTGCCTCAGTCAGTTGAGCGTCCAACTCTTGATTTCGGCTTAGGTCATGGTCTCATGGTTGTGAGTTCGAGCCTTGCATCAAGCCCTGCCTCTCACGGTCTGCTTCAGATTCTCTCTCTCCCTCTCTTTCTGCCCCTCCCCCCTCTCAAAATAAATAAATAAACTTTAAATAATAATAATAATAATGGGGGTGCCTGGGTGGCTAGGTCGGGTAAGCATCCAATTCTTGATTTCGGCTCGGGTTGTGATCTCGCTGTCCATGGGATCGAGCCCAGCATCAGACTCCATGCTGTCAGTGCAGAGCTCGGGATTCAGCTTGAGATTCTCTCCATCTCTCTGCCCCTCCCCCACTCGCACACACACTCTCTCAAAATAAATAAACATCAAAATAATAATAATAATGTGTCAATATTAGTTCCTCAGTCTGTGATAACATATGTACCACACTAATGCAAGATGTTAACAGGGAAAACTGGGGGTGGGGAGGGTAGATGAGAATGCTGTACTTCTTGCTCGATTTTTCTACAAACCTAAAAGTGCTCTAGAAAATAAATTCTATTCATTTTTTTTTAATTAAGGAAAAGAGTTTTTAAAAATTGGGACACAGATAAAATTGGTATTGGGATAAAGCTTGCAGACAGTTTGGTACTGGTTTCGGGAGCCCTTTCTGCTCCTCCACTCGTTGCACACCACCCCATAACCTCCTGGTGCCATCCTGGGATTTGCAGACCTGGAGGCAGCCCTTCTCCTCCTATCGAGGCCTCTACTAGATGAGTAGCACCCCGCTTTGTGGATTTGTCTACAGAGCACGGAGTGAGGGGATGCATATGTTTATGCCCACAGAGCTAGAGAAGACCCCAGCCAGGATTCTTCAGGCTACACCCAGCACAAGGCACCCCAGTGCTCTGCCCAGATATGCTACCCTCCCAAGTAAGCCCTCCTCTCATGGGTCAGAGATGGGGCTGAGGCAGGCCAACCTTGCTGAACATCCTAGTCTCCTGAGGGCTTATCAGAGGAACCCATGTTTCAAGGGCATGAGGCAGTATGGAGGTTTCTGCATTCTTGTTTTCTCTCCTGTCCAAAGCTCCCATCCCCAGCTGTCAGGTCTGGCTGTACCCCAGGTGGTTTGGGGTCAGCTTAGGGGAAGGGGCAGACTGATTTGCCTCCTTAACTCTTCATGACTGAACCCCTCCATTCCCTGACGAAACCTATGACGAAGGAGAACTACTCAGAGGATGGAGTAGGGGGGATGAGAGAGTGTTGGGAGACAGACGTTGGCAGGAGGGCTAAATGGTGAATCCAGAGGTGATAGAAATAGCCCTGGATGGGGAAGCAGGAGAGCTGGTCTGCCATTAACTCACTCTGTGACTTTGGGCCTCGGTTTCCTCATCTCCAAAATGAGTGTGGTGGGCAAAATAAGCTTAGGCTCAGGAGGCTGGGGGAGGCCCCAAGGGGTTAGGTTGGGGTTGGGAGGTCTCCCCCCACCTCCCCGAGATCTCCATCCTGGACCAGGCTCTCCTGTGGAGAGACCAGGAATGCTCCAGGAGCTCAGGCCACGACGAGCCAGCAGTGAGGAAGACCCACCTGCTTGGGGTGGAAGTTGCCATTTCGGTCGCAGTTGGGGATGGGGATGATGTAGAGGTCCTCATGGGTGCGGCTCTGTGAGGCGGCCAGCCGCTCCAGGGCCCGGTGCAGCTCGCTCTGGCAGGAGCCTTGGGGCTGGAGGAAGGGAAGATGAAACAGCTTAGCAGAAGGGAGAGAGGCAGGAAGACCCAGGCTGGAGGTCAGGTCACGACTGAAGGCCCTGAAAGGAGGCCCAGGGCCCAGAGGCTGGACAGAGCCTACTGGGTTCAGGGGACACCGGTGGGCAGAGCAGAAAGACGCTGAAGAGAGGATCTTGAGCCAAAGAGCTTCTAAACAGGAGGGCTGTGGATGGAAGGGACCTTGTGGGGAAAGGGGTTGTGGAAATCTATGGAGAGCTGGGAGGAAGGTGATTTCTAAACAGGAGGGATAGCTGACATCATACCATTAACAACTTGTAAGACCTCAGAAAGGACATTAACCAGACCCTAGAGCAAGGTCTGCAGGCCCCCTGCTGTGGACAGCATTAACCCTCTGGTTACTGAAAAGGTGGGTGGAGAATCCAAAAGAAGGACTAAGAAACACCCAAGAGGCCAGGGGCAACCGCTATTTACAAAGTAGTACCGAAGTATTTCAGTATTTAAAAATTACTTCAACTGCGGGGTGCCTGGGTGGCTCAGTCGGTTAAGCGTCCGACTTTTGCTCAGGTCATGATCTCAGGTTCGTGGGTTCGAGCCCCACGTCGGGCTCTGTGCTGACAGCTAGTTCAGAGTCTGGAGCCTGTCTTCGGATTCTATGACTCCTTCTCTCTCTGACCCTTGCTTGCTCACGCTGTCTCTATCTCTCTCTCAAAAATTAAAAAAAAAAAAACACATTAAAAAAATTACTTCAACTGCATCAATGTATATAACCAGGAAAGGCATTTCAAGGAAAGGCATGAGGATTCTCGGGGTCCTGATGACATATACTAGGTGCATCTTGCACACAGTAGGCACCCAAAGACTGTTTCTGAATGAACATAGCCCAGATCCAGTGGTGGTGGTGGTTGGTGGTGGCGGCGGCTGTGTGTGCCTGTGCACATGCGCGTCTGTAGGGCTGAGGTCCTCACCACGGGCCGCGCTTCCTCCCGGGGCACCCCGATGACTTTCATCTTGCCCCCGCTGGTGCTGCGGTCTCGAATTTTGGCTAAGTGCTTCTGCAGGCACCTGCGGTCATGCGCGCTGCAAGGACTGAAGCTGTTGTTCGGGTGGTCGCCCTCATCCTTGTCTGCAGTCAAGCCAAGATGGAGAGAGGTCAGCACTGGGAAAGGACAGGGCAGAACACCAACCCAGACCCCCACCTGCTTTCTTCTAGGGGATTCTCCGGCCTGGCTCTGAAAAAGGGTAGGGGGCCGTGAGGCAAGGGGGAGATGAAAGCAACACCCCTGTATCCTCCTCACTCTTCTGGATTTCCTCAGGAGGGAATATTCCTTTTAAAGTCCTTGACTTGTCTCTCACCCCACCCAGTCCAGCCCTCAGATGAGTCACCAGCTGCAGCTGCGCAGACAGCAGGAGGGTCCCCTGGGCCCTGCAGGGAGGTCTAAGGCAGGCAGGGGCCTCCCCTCTGGATCCCGTACCCCGCTCCATTCGGCTCCTCCTACCATCCCCCTCTCCCTCTGCTCTCTCTTCCTGTCTCCTTTCCTGCTCTTTTCAGCATCTGGCTGAGCCAGCCAGGGGATCCCCAGATCTGTTGGCTGGGCCACCCCTCTTCCAAATGGCCAAAGTCAGAGTTTCCATGAGTGATGAGAACTCTGGCCCCAAAGGCTCTCCCCATTGGCTGGACGGAAGAAAAGAAGCAGGAGCAGGTGTGTACACTTGCCCCCATGAGAAAGTGTGCGCCCACATGCGTGTGTGTGTCAACGCACTGTGTGGCCGCAGGACCAAAAACACCCTGGCACATCATTTCAGTCCCCCACCCCGACTTCTCCCATCCTCGGACTTCAGACCCCAACCAAAGTCCACGTCCATTGCCCAGAGCCAGGGCACTGGGGAGTCTGGAGATAGGGGGTGGTGAGGCTGGGCCCACACACTCTCCCTGGGATCTCCTGAAGACTCTACCTGAACTCAAGAATAACCCGAGCCAGAGAAGTCCCAGAATGGTAAGCACCCCTCCAACTGCAGCCGGCCAAAACTGGAACACAGGGCTGAACTGGAGAAAGGGGTTGTAAGACCTCTCTGCAGCTCGGAGGCACCTCTGAAATGCTTGCGCTTGGCAGCTCGCTGCCGGCCTGAGTGCAAAGCCCCATGCCAGCATTCCACATGTTGGCAGCCAGACAGAAGGTTACATCTGGTTTGTGTCAGGATTTTTTTTTTCCTGAGGAGTTAGCAGGTTCCTCCATGCGTGGCACCAGTCCCAGAGCTGCCTCTGGGTCAAATGGTATTTTTCCGCCTAGCCAAAGTTAGTTGGGAGGTTAGTTCTCTTTTTGTTCTCCTAGTTCTGGGGCGGGGGCGGGGGGTGGGGGGGAGTCGGTAGATAAAGGGAAACCAGGAAACAAGGAATCTAGACTCTCAGAAAGTCTTTGTCAAGATTCCATACCAAAGGTTATTTATAAAATTGAGTCACCAAGGATGGGAAGAAGCTTTTGTCACGGGTGGAGGGCTGGTTTAGAAAGAAGAATCAAAGGGGAGGAATAGAGCAGATAGATATAATCTATCCTTCTGCATATTTAACGTCCCAAGAAGGACAGTCCGGAACAGACTCCAGTCTCAGAGACAGCATCAAGTTCTTAACGGTCAGCCAAGGGGAAAACACTATAGCATGATTTCCCAGTGATGCAGGTAGCAAAAGACGTGGGTAAATTTCAGAAGACCAGGATTGTCAAGGGGGCCGTGAGTAGATGGACCCTAAACCCTCAGTCAGAACCAGAGGAAAAATCCAGGGTCCAGGCTCGTCCCTAAAGACTCTCCCAAGGGAACTTTCCAGTCCAGGCTGGCCCATGACCCTTGCCCCTGCATCTACCTTGAACAAAATCACAAGACTTTTGGATGGGGCCACAGTGTTTCAGGGGTGTAGTCTGGAAGTGGGTAATGGAGAGAAAGAAGAAATGGAAGATCTAAAAGAATTAGAGCCAGAAGTGCCTGGGTGGCTCAGTCATTTGAGTATCAACTCTTGATTTTGGCTCAAGTCATGATCTCATGGTTCGTAGGATCGAGCCCCATGCTGGGCTCTGTGCTGGCATCACAGAGCCTGGGATTCTCTCTTTCCTTGTGTCTCTCTGCCCCTCCCCCACTCATGCTTGCTCTCTTTCTCTCTCTCTCAAAATAAGTGAATAAACGTTTTCTAAAAAGGAAAGGAAAGAAGAGAACAGAACAGAAAAGAATAGAAAAAGGAAAGAAAATAAATTAGAGCCAAATCTTGGAACAACAGAGGCTAAGCTAAGACATGAACAAAAGCGCACCATTTTCCCCGGGAAAGGCTGGAAGGGATCACAAGGACTCAACTGCCACAGCCCATGACACTAACCCAAGGGGCACCCTTGGAACCGGAAAAAGAATTTTGTGTCTTTCCTTTGTGTTTGCTTTGTTTTCATGACTATAAAGGGAAGCACTACTTTGCATAGTGACACTTATTCCTCTTGGTAAGCAGACAGAATGTTCTTAGATTCGAGACGTAAGGAAGAGTGCTCTAACAAATGAAAGTAGAGAGCCTCCCATCCTGGAAGTGTGGCATGTCAGAATGATAAAGTCCTCAAGAACAAATTGAGATCTGGAATGGAAATTTAACTGCAACTAGGCGGTCCAGTGTTGAGTCTCTACGAGTTGAAGTTCACAAATGACTAACACTTGGGGGATTGTTAATGGATATATGGAATGTTCATCCCTTCCCTTAAGAGGTATCATAATGGAGGTCTACTGGGCCTGCTCACTGAAACCTGGAGCTGGGGGGCTATAGGGCAAGGCTGGGGGCGCGTAGTGTATGCTCTTGTGTGGGTAGGGCCCCATGTCACCCTGAGGGGATTATCTGGAGGAAGCTAAGCGGGCAGCGTGCCTGGCCTCCCCTGCCTTGGTGTCCCCACTTTTTTTTGTTAGGCAAGTTTCTTTTTTTCTTATTTTGAAGAACTGAAGAGGCCTCCAAGCCTCCAAAACACACAGACTTGAGTCCAAAGATTCCTCAGTGTCATACTTGGACCCCTCTCGCCTGAGGCCAGACTCCTTCACCCCACCAAAAGGGCACTCCACAGAGATCAATCCTTCGTTAACACCAACCATGCCAACCTCCAGCTGCTCTGCCGGATCTGATCCGGGTCTGTCCCTAGCTTGTGTCTAAGCTCAGAGAACACACCAGATAGGGAGAGTAGCTCCTTCCTTAATCTCACAGGGACACACAGTATGTCCATATCTGCCCACTCAGACACAGGCAGGTCTGGACTTAAGAACCACAAGCACATCAAACAATCACGTGTCCCAGCACACATTGGTCCACACGTGCACACCCACATGCACTCGGGCACTCTGACCCTGCCCAGGGCAGACACAGACCCAGAGCAGAACACACTGACTGTACCATAGCTTGTTGACTTTCCACTTAATCTGTAACTTTTCCCTGCCCAGGCTTGCCGAACAGGCAGACTGAGGATCGACCCCAGGATCCACCCCTCCCTAGTTTTGGGAGGGTGAGGGTCATAGCCTGGGGTCTCTGAAAATGTTAACCTTCCCATCTCCAAAACTGGCTAAATACTTGCTGCTTCTCTGCTTACTCAGGAATTCCAGCCACTTGGTAACTGCTCACCCAGGTGGAGCCTTCTGGTAAAACCCCAATCACTATGGGATCCCCTCTGCACAGGAGCCAGAGTCAGACCTACCCCCCTGAAAGATCTGACCTCCTGACCCCCAAAAGGCTTATTTAGGAGGTAAGACTTCCAAAGTAGGCCAGGTCCTCTCCCCCAGCCCCTGCTAGGAACTAAGCCAACAACACGCAGCCACAGGGGAAACCTTGGTCTTTGCTCTAGCAACCAAGGGGAAGGAGCCCAGAGAGGGAAAAGACTTCACGGCTTTGGCACCACTGGCTGAAAAGTTCATGGTCAAAGCTACAGGATTTCCACTTTCTGGCAGCCTGGTTTCATCCCCATGATTCGTCCTCAATTCCAGCCGCATCCCCTTCGAGACACCCAGAGTGAGGCCGTGAGGTGGGTGGGCCCAGCCACCCCACACGGGTGTGTCAGTCACAGTTTGGAGGATCACTCATCTACCCTGCAAGAAAGGCCCTTTCCTTCCCCCTGGGCTCTGGCTAGAGAAGCCAGAATCACCCCTGCCAAGTACCCAGCCCTTTCTTCGAAGTCTGGCTCTCAGGGCATCCCCCTCACTGCTGTGCCACGCTGCCAGCCTAAGACTAAAGGAAAGCCGGCCCGTCTTTCCCATGTTCACAGCAACAAAAAGCACCAAAGTTCCCCCCCACCCCTCTCAACTCCTCTGAATGCCCCCCTACTTTGCTCACTTGCCCTACTGTCCCCCAAAGCCCCAGAATCAGAAAAGCAGCTAAGCTTCAGCTGAAATCCTCTCGGCCCCTTCTTCATTACCACCCTCAGCACGGCTCCAATCGACTGAGCTCTTAGTCCATGCCAGACACCCCAAGCCTGTCAGGCAGGTCCTGGGTCACCTCCATTTTACAGATGAGGAAATGCAGTAGACTGGGTGGGGGCAAAGGAGGACAGACTTATCCCTGCAGCTTCTATGTCTTTAAATGGAAAGACTCCTGATACCCGAGGCACCAATAATTCCAGCTTTGCCAATACTAAAGAAAAAATGTTAAGCAGCCATGCTCCTCCTCCCACCTCCCCCAAGGCACAGAATTTCTGGGAAGGCCCTGTTCCCATGACATGACTGGATTCCCAGTATTGAAGTAAAGGGGACAATATTTGCTGCGTTGACTAAAAATTAACCCAGTCTGTCTGTTCCCTAACTCTGTCCCAGAGGGACCCAAGAGCACAGTTTAGGAGCTCCCCAGTCCAAACACTGATCTTCCCCCTGTCCACTCCCCCAGATTCCATGAGTCAAGGGTCAGTACACTGGTGCAGAATTGTGGACCTCTGACGCACACGTCCCACCCCACCCCCACCTCTGGGGGCCTGAGCAGTGTTAATCCACAACCTCTTCTGGCTTGGAAAGCTGGGACAGGAGGGCTATGGGGGAAGCTTAGGGGGGTAGCAGCCTAAAATGGAAAGAGGAGACCCGTTCCTAGGGCAAATAGTAGGCAGCTGGGCACAGCAGGCCGAGGCAAGGGGGATGCCAAGTGGCTGCCCTCCCCCCGTCACCCACTGAAGCTTAGCCCCAAGAGGAAAAGGAAAAAAGAGGAGCCTGATGCCCTCTGCCAAACGATTCCCAAGACAAGAAGGCCCAAGCCTTGGGACCTAGGAGGGACAGTGGCCTATTGACAGTGGAAGGCTAGAGAGAATAGTGGGGATAAGTCCCAAGCTCTGGCCATCTTGTCTCACCAGAGCCCCTGCAGAGCTGTTGCACAACGCTAGGGGGCGCCTCTCACACGGTGCAGGGGGTCCTGTGATGATTAGGAGGCAGGAGCATAGCTTGCCAAGTAGGTACCTAGTTTCCACAGGATCCTCCAGGTTGCCCTTTCCCTCTCCAGATCTCTGTGTCCCCTGCACGGGTGAAGGACAGGCAAGGAGGGCAGGGCGGGCATTAGAGACCTGGGCCCTGTAATCCCAAGGGGATGTAAAGGCCAATTTGCATGACGTCCACAGGATAATCACAAACTTCATACCATTTCCCTCAAAGCCCCTATCCCTATAGGATTAGATTTTCCTCCACTACAGGATGGGGTGCCCCTACCTAGCCAGGGAGGAAGGGGTGCTCAAGACCCTCTGAGGGCTCTTCTGTCCCGTGTTCAAGTCAGTGAGAGAGGAGAAGGCTACCAGCCATCCTAATCTGGTGCCAGATACATACCCACTGGCTGGTGGAGGATGGATCTAGGAAGGGAAAGAGATCCCATTATACTCAGAGAGCCCAGGAGCTCAGCCCTCACTCCCAATCTGGTCTGGTACGAGTACCCCTCCTCTCCCACTGGCATGGGCATCTGTGCCCCAGGATCAGTGCCTTACTCCCTCAGGACACCCCCCCCCCCCCCCCACCCCCCGTTTCCCAGATGTGCCGGGTGCCAGGCTGGCATTTCTCCTAGTATATTTTCTGCTGACCCATCTCTCACTGCCTAGGGACAGGAAGGGCAGAGAGGCCCGAGGCCCAGACCCCTGGGGTCCACCTCCTTCCTGTTTTCCCTGCATCCTGCTTTCCTCCGCTAACAAGCTGCAGAGGATTGAGGAAGTGGAGCGGTCTGGGACCCAGGGCAGGAAGCTTGGGGCCGGAGTCCCAGCATCCGGACTGCAACAATGGAAGCTTCAAGCACCAGGAAAAGAGACAGACAGAGGCAGAGGGAGAGCAAATCAGAGTCAGAGAGGGAACAAGAAACAGAGGCGGAGATACAGAAAGGCAGAGAGAGAGATTCCAAAAGTAACAGAGACAGGCAGGAACAAAGAAAAACAGTGACCGAGACACGGAGAGAAAACAACAGAAAGGGGCTGAGGAGAAAGAGAAGCAGGACAACAAAAGCAGAAAGGGAACAAGATCGAGAAAGAGAAACTGATAACAGGCGGAAGTCATTGAGGAAAGGAGAACTCGGGAATGTTGGTCGTGAAACTAGAGACAGAGACGGAGCAGGAAATAACAAAAGAATAAGAAAGAAGGAAAGACAGAGAACGATTATAAGGAGACACTGAGAGAGTCTCACTGAGAAAAGGAAAAAGAGAAAGTGTAGGAAAGAGTTTAGGGCAAAGGGCCCTCTAAACCTCTCTCCCTCTCCCTCTCCCTCTCTCCCGCTCCTCCTTCCCGCCCCCCTCCCTCGCTCTCCCTCCTCTCTACTCCCTATCCCACACCCGTTAGGTTTCTACAGCTCTGGGCTGGGAGCCAAGACTTGCTTCTCCTCTGCCGCCTCAGAAGACACCTGCCAGGAGAGAGGAACGGGGTGCCTGTGTACCAGGGCAGGATGAGGTGCCCAGGCCTGGCAGAGACCTCTGTCTTCCCAATACCTCTCAAACAGCAAGGTGAGCTGCCCAGGGGCGTTGGGGAGGGGCAGCTCCGATGTCCCTCACCACCAAAGCCCCTCTTATTTGGATGTCCCGCTCCACCCCATCTCAATGTCAAAAGGCCACGCCCTGACTTCTTAGACCCCTGGGGTTTCACCTGTGGCCAGGATGAGGGAAGTCCCTGGATCAGGAACAGAAAGCCACCACCATCGCCCAACCCTTCCTCTAGTTATGCGGCCCTAGGCCGGTCACTTGCAGGCTGCTGGCTGGACCAAGTCACATAATGTTCCACTCTTACCCCAGCAGCCGGGACTGCCACGGAGACCTCTCTTCCCAAATAGGCACCCTTGACGAGGTTTGGGATGAAGGGCTGGGATACAGTCTTCCTTGCTGGTGGCAACAGGCTGCTAGGGACTCAATGGCAGTTTTCCTTAGGTGAGCCTGTCCTGTGCCGGCCCAGCCCTGCGAGGTACCTGCCTTCTCCTTAACTCACTGGAGATTTTCAAGGGCTTTCCAGGCCAGCCCAAACGGGGACGCGGCTTCTAGGAGGGAAGCATACCAGGGAGGGCATGCAAGGGCAGCGGCACCTTACCAGAGGGCTGGAGGCTTTCCTGGATGGCCTCGATCTCCGCCAGCTCCATGCACACGCCTTGCCCGTGCATCAGCGTGTGCAGGGGCTTCTCCACCCCCCGGGGCGGGTAGCAGCGCAGGCCCGAGCCGCAGCGGGGGGTATACACCCCGCAGGGCATCCCCTTGCCCAGGGCGCAAGTGGCGCAACAGCCGCAGCCCGGCTCCCGCACCAGCTCCTCGCAGCCCACGGGGGGGCGGCAGCGCGCCAGCTTCTCCTCGGAGCAGGGCGGGCAGTGGATGGCTTCGTCGCCCAGGCTTGGCCCGGGCCCGGCGGCCAGCAGCAGCGCGGCCACGAGGCAGAGGGGCAGCATGACCGGGCTAGGACGGGGCGCGGGCGCGGGGCGTGGGAGGGAAGAACGCGCGCGCAGACTGGCCGCAGGGACACGCGGCGACAGCGCCCGGCGCGCCTGGAGGACCGACCCGGAGGGCTCGGGGAGACGGGGCGGCCCCGCGGACGGATAGGGACGGAGCCCGGGAAGTTAGCAAGCGGGCTGGAGGGGAGCGAGCCTGGCCGCCGAGGCGCTGCGCCGCATCCTCGGCCCGGCCCAGGCGGCGGGCGGCGGGGCGGCGGGGCGGGGGTGGGGGGGCAGGGGGCTGAGCGGCTGCCCGGGACCGGCTCCCCGGGACTTTATACCGGCCCCTGGCCACACCCCCAGCGCCTTCCCAGAGGTGGGGGAGCGGGGGCGCCGGGGGGAAGAGGGAGAGGCGGCCGTTAGGGGGAGGGGGCGCTGTCCTGAGTCGCTGCCGCCGCCGCCGCCGCTACAACATCTGAAAGTCCTTTTCTGCCGCAGAAGGAAGCGGCGCAGTTTGGAAGCCGTGGCAGGCGCCGAGAGTGCTTCTGAACCGGAGCCTGGGAGGGGAGAGAAAGAAGAGGAGCCGCAAAGGGGCTGCTCTCTGGCCCCATTCGCCTTGGAGGATTCTTCCCCTACCCCGCCAAGGCGGCTGCAGTCCCCCCACCCCACCCCAACACTGAGAACGCGACCTCCTAACCTGGTCTCCCGGCTCCGCGGGGCCGAGCCCCTTCCACCCCACCCTAGAGCTTCCAGTCCCAACCACTGGAGACCAAGTCGAGTGAAGTGGGAAAAGGGCAGCCAAGTACCCAACGAGCGACCCAGAAGAGCCTGATGGCCCTAAGAAGTTAGTAGGCTTTCTTCCCACTTGCCCTTCCAACTTCCCTCCCCACCCCATCTCCCCAGGGCTCCTCTGGGTCCTGGTCCACTCTGCCTTCCTGAGAACTGAATCAACAGAACTCCTAGGGAAGGAGGTGCCAAGCCTCTTCTTCCCTCCCGGATGCTTGCTTCTTCTGCCCAACTCCCTCCCAGGAGGAATACTGACCAGGGAGAATGCCACTCTCCTTGTGCAAATCGTGCATCGCACAACTCCAGGGGGCACCATTTCTCTCCTAGCCCCTTGTACATTTGTGTAGCTGTTATGACCGTTTTCCAGCAGATGGCAGTCAAGCATTTCCAGGTAGGGTCTTTTCCTAATTCAGCCAGCGCTGCTATTTGGGCTAGTGTCTGGGGCTGACTAGGCCCTCTATGAGCCTGCTGGTGCCTGTTTTCCCCACCCTTGCCTAAGTCCTGCTAGGATTGGGAGGGACCCTACAGTAACATTTAAGCAAGGGCCCGTCTCCTGGGTTCTTGCCCTGGTCCCCAGTTCCCCCAGGTACTCATCCATCCTCCCCCACAAAGCCTTCTGCTGTCCTGGAGCTGGCTGCACGGTAAGGGTGCCTGTCAGGACATATTTGGTGACCCACTGTGGATTTTGGGGGGTGGGCAGGGGGGCTTGGCCTAGAAAGCTCTAAGGCAGCCAAGCCAAAGTGCAGATCAGATCAGAGACCGCCTTCCGGACTCCCAGGACGGCGATCTTTCAGTCTCCCAAGCAGACCCTCTCCCACTTTCTCCAAGTGTAGAGTGTCCAGGTGACAGGAGGAAGACAGGGGCTGGAAGCTGAACTTGTAGAGACAGAGCCCAAAAGTTGCAAACTGACGGCACCTACTGGCAACTATCAAGACTGCAGGAGGTCTGGAGAGTTCTGACGGGGTGGCGGGGGAGGCTGGGGAGACAAGAATCTGGGATTCTCTCCCTGCTATTTCACAGACAAACTGGGGTCTTTTCTGTCTTGGATAAGGGCAAACAGGGCGAGGCTTCTTGCGTCCCTGGGTGAAGCCCAGCGGCCCCTGATTCAGGAAACTTCCCCCGGCCCTATCCCCCTTCATCGTCACTGAGCCACCAACATATTGCATGAACTTGGACACCCCCCCTTGGAGCTAGAATGTCCCTAACTATAAAATGGAGGTACGTCATCTCCACCTAGCCTGCCTCTTGAAGCACTTGTAGGAATAAAATGGGACCTGAGAGAGTGGTTCTGACCCCAATGCCAGACTTGCCCCCTAGACAGCAAGCCTGAGAGAGCTTACGGTGCTGGGACATGGAGGAAGGAGTGCAGGAGAGGCTGGATTGAAGCCAAGAGAAGTACCTGGGAGTGAACCATGAGTGCAGGTGAGTGTGGGAAATCCAGAAAGGTTTCCAGGTGAGACAGGAACCCAGACCCCTATCCATCCACTGGTGTTCACCACCCCCACCCCCAAACATTACTGACTGAGATAATTCCAAAGAAGTAGGAAAATAGACATAAGTAGATCATTGAAGCACCTCCCCACCATTCATGCAACACGTATGTACTGGACACTATGCATAGGCTCTGTGCTGCATTTGAGGACACAGAACTGGCTGAGGCCACTCCCTGCCCTCAAGTGGCTCACTGCCTAGTGAGGGGAGACAGGCATACAAATAAAATGAGTCTAAGAAGCATACAGGTGCCCTGGGAGACATCCATATGGGGCGCTGTGGGGACCCAGATGCACAAGTGGTCAGTTCTATATCCAGGGCACATGGAAAGACTTCATGGAGAAGGTGATTCTTGAGCCAAACATCTTCCATGCCAGAGGAAGGAGCACAGGTGTTAGCATCAGGCCGCCCTGGATGCTGATCCCGGCTTTGTTGCTGGACTTACTAGGGAACCTGAAAAAAATCACTCTGAGCTTCACTGTCCTTACCTGGAAAATAGGGCTTGTGATAAGAAAGAAAGGATGGGGAGGGAGAGAGAGAATCTTAAGTAGGCTTCATGCTCAGAGACTCAGGTCTCAATGACCCTGAGATCACAAGCTGAGGGGAAATCAAGAATCAGATGTTTAACCAACCGAGCCACCCAGGTGCCCCATATTATGTATATTTTGCCTATTCCATCAGATAAAATGCTCTCTAGAGCAAGCCCATGAGATTGGGGTCTCCCTGAGGGCAGGACTATCAATTCTCTAAGACGCCCAGCCTGAACCCAATAGAGGTTTGATACTAAACCAATAAGGGAGCTAATGAGACTCTAAGCAACAAGGCAGGAAGGGTATGGGTCGGAAGAAGTGGGCAGGGAGTGGGGATTTTTCTCAGGCTCCTGTCAGAAGCATCTTCCTGGTGCCCCGGGTGTCCAGAAGCTTAGGGACAGACAAGGATGCTGAGGGGGAGGCAGAGGTTGTTTTTCTTTTCTCTCTTTTTTTTTAAAGTTTGTTTTCTTTTAGTAATTCAGTGTGGGGCTGGAACTCACAACCCTGAGATCAAGAGTCGCATGCTCTTCTGACTGAGCCAGCCAGGTGCCCCATAGAGGTCTATGTAGAGCCCTGGGCTGGCTGGTAAAGATAGCAGGGAAGGCCAAGTTTATGCCCCTGGGGCTTCCAGGTGGTGCTCAGTCCTCAAGGGGGCAGCAACCAGGTGGAGAAAACCAATGAGCAGAGTGGCTTGTGCAAGTGTCTCTCTCCCTCTTTTTCTGCCCCTCCCCTGCTCGCATGCATTCTCTGCTGCACTCTCTCTCCAAAAAAAAAAAAAAAAAAAAAATTAACACATAATAGGGGTGCCTGGGTGGCTCAGTTGATTAATCATCTGACTCTTGATTTCAGCTCTCAAGTCATGACCTCGCAGTTTTATGATTTCAAGCCCCGTGTCGGGCTCTGCGCTGACAGTAGATCAGCTGAGGAAGATTCTCTTCTCTCTCCCCCTCCCCTGCTCACACTGTCTTGCTCAAAAATAAGTAATAAATTTTTAAAACTTTTTAAAAATACACATAATAATGAAAGCTGATACCTAATGAACACGAGCCATGTGGTTCTAAGTGCTTCACTCATGTACTTCACAACAATCTCATGAAGTAGGAGTTATCATTTATCCCTTTTTAAGATAGGGAAGGGAAACTAAAGCACTGAAAGATATGTAACTTACTCAAGGTCATACAATAAGTAAGTAGAAAAACAGGGGTCTGAACCCATACAGTCTGGCTCCAGAGTCTATATGATTAACTCATGTTTCACAGCCTTCCAAACAGCCGTCAGAAGTATTCTAAACAACAGCCGAGGGGAAAAGACTGTGGTACAGAGTGCAGGATGGGTGTGGAGGAGGAGAGTGGAAGTGGCATCGACATGGAAATAGGCCCCAGACCTCCCCAATAACTTTGGCTTCCAAGCCCCTGTCTGGCCGCCCTGGACTTCCCAGTGTGCCTACACTGAATAGGGGGCTCAGCTCCCCTTCCATGCCTGCTGATGGCCAGACCCCAGGTAGGATATCTTCCAGGGGTCGCTGCAGGTGTGCTCTGAGCAATGGCACATCAGTACCACTGCCTTCGTGCACTAGGGTCCCATCCCGGGAAAGAACAGATCAGGAGAGCTAGGATCTCTGTGGAGACCCAATGGTACAGAGGGAAGCCTGCTTCAGAGGCTAGAACCTGAGTCCTTCCCTCAGGACATGTGGCTTGAGAAATGGACACCCAGACAGAGGATGGGGAGGGGAGAGGAGAGCCCATCTGCAGTTGAGCTGGCCAGGATCCGGTTTCATATCTCCAGTCCAAGCAGCTTGGCTACTTGCCAGCTTTATGACCACTTCCCCTTCCTCAGCTTCAGTTTTACCATCTGTAAAATGGGGGAGGGGAACTCATTAAATTGTGAACCCCCTTCTAGCATGGGCAGTCTAGGAATCTAGAACCTCTGGAGTCTTTTTGCCTGGTCCCAGGCCCGATCCCAGCATGGCTCCCAGCCCCCCAGAGTTTGCACTGTTTCCAAGCCAACTAGCACTCACGGAATCACTTTCTCATTGGTCAAAGAATGTGTAGGAGACAAGCCAAGTGAAGGATCTTGAGTCCTATGAGAGTTCTGTTACTGCCCAGGGAGGTGATGAGGCTCACTCAAGGGCATACAGCTAGTAATTCATAGAGCCAAGACTTAAGCCAAATATGTTTACTACCTGCTAGAGACTAAGTGGCCCGAGCCATGTGGCCTCTGTTGCCAGAGCACTGCTAGTGAGCCATGGGCTAAGGACTCAAGGAAGGTTGGGGTAGGAGGAGATGAAGGAGGTACATACAACCTGGGAGAATCCATGCAGGTGACACTTGCAAAAGTACAGAAACAGAGCGGACTCTGGGAAGAGAGTGACAGATGTGAGGAAGGGGAAATTATTTGCCCTGACACCTGTTGAGATAAAGAGCAGGGTACCTGCTTGCCAGGGTGCCTCTTGGCCTGATAGCTCAGAAGCCCAAAATCAGAGCAGACCCTGTGTCTTTCTCTCACAGAACCTCTAGGCCTCTAGGCCCTGCCTGCTACCCCCCCAACCCTGGGGAACAGAGTGCTCCCTACCTCCTAGAGAACTCCAAAGAGACTCTCCCAAGGGACTGCTGAACCCAGACTGACCCTTCAAACGGATCCTAAGCATAGAGAGACCCCACAGGGGAGTCCTCAGACTTAGCAAAACCCCAGAAAGAGGCCCTGGGATCCAGAGAATTCCCCAATATGCATTTACACAGGGGCTCTTACTCCCTGACTGCACACCTCCTCTTTCCACACCAGCACTAGGTCACAAATATCCCATCATGCCTTCTCTGTATCCCCAAGCCTCTCTGCTGGCCCCCTCGTCCCATGCCAAGAGCCAGAATCTTCTCACACCCACCTTTATGTCTCCTCCTTTCCACCTCCCCACCCCTGTTCACTTCACCTCAGCCTTCCTCTTTTCCTTACCCAGGAGAACATCCTGGCCTAAAGGGCCTCCGAAACTTGGTGGTAACCAGACATCCCAACCCAACTGGGGAAAAGTGGCTTCCAGGAGGGGTGAGTGTATTGTTAAGTGAGGAAGGGGAAAGAGAGCAACTGTGGCCTCCATTTCCTCATCTGCAAAATGGGAATGATACCACACATACCTCATAGGGCTGTTATGACAAGCTGTACAGAGTGCTTGCTTTTACCTCATTTAATAAATAGATATGGAAAAACATACTGAGATACCACTTTACATCCACCAGATTGGTTAAAAAAAATTTTAATGTTTATATATGTATTTTGAGAGAGAGAGCTTGCATGCCTCATGGGCACAGAGAGGGGGGAGGGGCAGAGAGGGAGAAAGAGAGAGAGAGACCCAAGCATGCCCCACACTGTCAGCACAGAGCCCGATGAGGGACTCACACAAACCCTGAGATCATGACCTGAGTCGAAATAAAGAGTTGGACACTTAACTGACTGAGCCACCCAAGTGCCCCAGATTAGTAACAATTTTAAATACTGAGCACCAAGTGTGGAGTAAGAGAACTGTCATCTAATGCCAAGAAGAGAACAAATTTGTACAACTGCTTGGAAGCAACCAACAATTCTATCCTGAGATATATACCCGCTAGAAATGCGTGTGTGTGTGTGTGTGTGTGTGTGTATTCCAAAACACACATATGAGTGTTCATAGCAGCATTAATCAGAATAGCTAAACACTGGCATTAATAGTAGAACAGATAAATCTATGATTGGATGAACTATCGCTATACCAACAACACAGATGAATCACAAATTGAACAAGAGATTACTATTGTAGGATTCTATTTATAAAGAATTCAAAAAGAAGCAAAACTAATCTATGGTTTTAGAAATCAGGATAGGAGTTACTTTGGGGGAGAATGGTGGAAGCACTTACTAGAAAGGGTCTTGTGGGGTACAGGTGATATTTATTATTTAGTTACATGGTGTATTCACCTTATGAACATTCACTGAGCTAAACATTTCTTATTTCTGCACTTTTCTGCATGTGTATTATACTTTAATTTTTTTAAGAAAAAACTTTTTTGTTTATTTTTCTTAAAGAGTGCTGGCTCTCAGGTAGGCTGCCTGGACTGGATTCTTGGCAGTAGGTTTGGGATAAGTGAGCACACCTCTCTACACCTCAGCGTCCTCACCTTTGTATTAAATGACCCTTATGTAGGGCGGCTATCATGATTGAATGAATATGTGTAAAACGCTTACAGTGGTGCCTGCTACGCATTAATGTACCCAGTGAGTGTTGGTCATTAGCCATGACCAGCCAAGTGAGTGCGATTAAGAGCCTGGAGCCAAAATGCCTGCACTAAAACCTGGATTTGCCATTTACTAGCTCTGTGACTTTGGCCAAGTGACATCCTCCCTCTTATCCTTAAATACCCTCAGTTGTGGAGGGCCAACGGCAGCACAGCCTGATAGAGCTGTATGAGAACCTACAGAAACAATGCATAGAGGCACTTAGCACAGTGCCCACTACAGAGAAAGGCTCAATACGCGTCAGCTGTTATTATTATTGATCACCATGGCAACCCTATAAACCCATTTTATAGATGGTGCTCCAAGTAGTTAGTAAAAAGACTGGCTTAAGGTCACATGCAACTAAATGTGATTTAAACCCAGCTGTGTGATGATGGAACCCAGGCTCCAACTGGCACCCCCACGCCACCTCCAGAGGCACCATAGCCTTGGAGAATTTTGCCCAAACCCGAACAGCACTTCTTCCTCCTGCCAGGCTGCCCTGCTGCAGCGGAAGCTCTTGCTGAACCCAGTAGCTGCAGCTGTCAGGGTTCTGTGTGCCCAGAGGCTGCTGTGCCTGTCCTGCCTGGCGGGCTCTGGCACCAATCTGACAATTCTGGTGCCCTCGGGCTGCTGAGGATGTAGCCCAGAGCCCAGCTCTAGCCCCGGCTGTGGGAAGAGAGGGTCTCAGAGAGAAGCCACGCTGCCCATGAGGGCTTCTGGTTGCCTGGGGCCTCTTCTACCGCAAACTTTGATTTTCCTTGCCCTGAGAGAGGTAGGGGTAGTCCTAAAGATGGCTGATGAGGACTGGAGAAAAACTTGAGGGAAAGGGATAGGGCTGCAGGGGCCCCGAAAGAAGGGCCAACCTGCCTGGAGCCCCTAATCCACAGAGCCCCCACCTTCTCCTCTCCTGAAACCTGGATTCCTCCCAGCCTCACCCCCTCAGTCCTCACGGTGTCCAGAGGCTTGATGCTTGGAGCCAGTAATCCTCAAGATCTGTGCAGTCTGTTCCTCACCCCCACCCAGTCTTGATGATCTAAAAAGCAGCAGAAGTTGGGCCCCAAGCCAGGGAAAGCCAGACGGTGGGCAATGGAGAAAAATTTGGCCTCAGGTTGGAGTACATGGGCTGTGGGGCAGGGAACTCTGGTCTTGCAGTCATAGCTAGGGGTTCAAATCCCAACTTGGTCCTGACTAGCCATATGCTGTGGGCTTGTCACTTCACCACAATGATCCTCAGTTTCTTCATCTGTAAAATGGGGATGTCAGTCCCTACTTCACTCCACAGGACTGTTAAGGAGGATCAGATGAGGCTACCTATATAAGTGTAAGGACATAGATACCTGAAAGCAAGTCACCAATTAGTGGTGTCATTATTGTGACCTTTTTTGATTCTAAGATTCTATGATGATTTGAGGTGGAAGGATACAAAGAAGGGGAGAGGGTACTGATAAGAGAGAGTGAGACTGAATGTGGAGCAGGGCACAGAGCTGGAAGGCAGAGAAAGATGAATAGGTGTGATGAAATGAAGAGCTTGGGAGGGATGGGGGGGAAGATTTATAGACAGATATGAAACCAAAGATCCCCGTCCAGACTCCCCCTCTTCATTCATTCATTCATTCATTCACTCAT